TGGTGGCCTCCGTCCCACCCACGGATCCAAGACCCCTTCCGCCCACAAAGCCGCAAGCCCCGAATTCCGACCTCGACACGGACGCAGCAGCCGATGAACACAACGCGTCGATCCTCGCGGTCCGCAGCCTCCGCACCACGGCCACGGGCGCGGAGCTCTACACACTAGCCTCGTCGGCATGTAACAACTCCTACGTCATGACTCCGAGCAAGGAATACTCCCCCAGTGCATACGGACCCGCACCCCATACAATGTTCAAGGTCAACTTCCGGCCCTTCTACTTCTTCTTCTACGGCTCGCTGCAGATCCTTAGTGTTCTGGAGGCCGTGTGCGGAGTAAGCTCCTCTGAGGAAGGCGAGGAGAACCGCATCGTCCTACGCGAGAACGCAAGTATCAAGGGCTGGAAACTCAAGAAATGGGGACCGTACCCGGCCCTCGTGCCCGCGGACAACACCAACGACGAGGGAGAGGGAGAGGGACATGTCGTCAGAGGCGTGGCGTGGTGCTGCGATAAGCCCGAGTATGTCGCGCGAATATGCGGTTACGAGACGGGCGCGTATCGCATGGCGTATTGTGAGGTGTCTTTCCCTACTGACGATAAGCTGAAGATCATCAGGGATGCTCGCACGTTCGTGTGGGCTAGAGACACTAAGGAGCTGGAGGATGGCGTTTTTGATGTCGAGGAATATCGTGCTCGAATGGGGCATTGATAAGGGATATTTCACTGCGCGTCAGGCAGGCGCCTACCATTGTTGATGTTGGTGTGGACGCCATGTGGCTCATCGACTCGTGGATCGGACTGGAAAAGTTGGTGTGAGGTCACTATCTGATATATTCCTGGACGTACTCTAGGGTCTTTAGATCGATAGTTCATGCAGAGTCTCAGGCTCTAGGGAGCTAATTATACTGCACGAAGAATGGAGGTGCTGAGGCAGTCCGTTGATCAAGAGCTGGAGTTATAACGAGACAGCTGGGTTAATACATTGCGCTTTCTTTCCTAAACTAAGTTTGTTCCCCTAGTTAAATCGAGGAATTGGTTTTTCCCATTCTCGGACTGAAGTGAAATGATTTTTTTAGCTTAAAGAAATGAAATTGAAATGTCTATAATAATAGTGAAAGTCTATCCGAACTATATCGACTGATAATAAAAAACCCCTATATAGAAGTCCATAGCAGTCTAGGTCGCCCTGTATGCATAAATCAATCCATCCTTCCCTTCCAAGTCTATCGTACGCTTCTCTTGCGGGAAATCATCTAGTTATCCTTCTCCTTTTCGCCTTTATGTTACATGCCCGATATGTACCGACGAATAAACTCCATGTCCCAGTTGCCGTCCAGATTCATCAATGCGTTACGAATCTTTTGGCTCTGATTGTTCGCTGGGATTCTGCGGTGTACTAAACACGAAAAGTATCAGCAGATGTGAAGACTCGGGCAAAGATTCGACTTGATATTAACTTACGAGGATGAGTCTTTAGGTTGTTGCTGTAAAGTGAGTGTTGTCGTCGTATCCGACACAACTATGATGGGTCCAGTCGTCCTAATGACCTTAAGGTTAGCTAGTGTCTGGCAGTTAGCATTACGAAGACTGTTGGTGTCTAGAGGATAACTCACGACGACGATGTTGTTGGTCCAGGAGCTGGTGCAGGACTAGACGAAGACTCGGTCTTGACGTTGTCCGTGGCTGCTGTGGAACCGGAGGTTGAAGCTGCGGTGCTCGTTTGGCCTTGAGTGGCATCGCCGTCCATGGCAACTGTCAGTGCTGCGAGAATCAAGACCATCGTCAGGTAGTAAAAGTCTTGCAACGGTTTCGAAGAGGGGCAAAGTAGAGGTGGAGATGATGTTATATCACTCGGACTGAGGGCTTTCAAGGTGAAATCGATGAGGATATCTACAACATTAAAGATGATTCTGTTAGGTCCATCACACTCCTTATATACAATTTCATTCTACGGGTTTAGAGCCAGATGGCTGTATTACTAGGACTCTGATAATGACTGACCTACGAAATCGGCGAAGTCCTCCTCGATGGTAAGCTGTCCTTAAGCGGCACTACAATGTGTCCTCACGTATCCAATTCTTCGTATACGTTCCATCGCAAGCTTTTATTGATGTATCTCGACCATGCAATTCCCCGTTTATTTCCCGGTCAAGTTTTCATATCATCGTCTAAGTGACGCTTCAATTACGGGAAGGAATTAGCAGTACGGCACGGAAATTCTTATAAGTCTACAATAGGACCAGCCTGTTGTCCTTGGCATTGCAAAAGTGCCATTTCGTCACCTTTATTAAGAAATACGGGCCGAAAAGGCTCGTTAACCAAAGCTAGTTAGTTCACAAGGTCCGTTCCACGTCGCGAGGCGAAGTGGGTTGATCCAGGACGTCGCGCCGTCCAGTGATGGCTGAGCACGCAGGCTACTAAACCAGTTTGAGGATGGAGTATAGATCGCCAAGCATTTCCGTGGCCATTGGCCGTCCTCGATTTTGTCTCCTTTCAGGGGCATCATTTCCTATTCCAGGCAAAGGAAGTACCATTGTATCTCTTATCTAGTCCATTTCAGCCCGATGGAAGGCTTAGAATGCTTGGCATAGAAATGGGAAGCCTTCTGAGACGAATAGCTTGCAGGTTTATACGTACGTCGTACTAAAACCTTTGGTTCCTTGATAGGAAGCTGGTAATACGGCGTATCTGATAGGCTGCCGTTTTGTAGTAATATGGGTTTAAGTGCCTTGCCGTGGGCAACTTGGCACTTCTGCTACGCTAGACTACGCCGTAAATGGTAACGTCCTCGGATCTTATTGGTTCAGAAGCTCTGATACGCGATATGGGGAAAGTTTATCTCGACGACCAGAAGAAGAAGATTTCTGTTATTCAGCCTACATATACGCAGTATATCTTCTTTAAAGGCATATTAATGCAGTATTTATAGCTTCGCGATATAAGAGTAGCATTTATTAATTCTCCATATTTTACTGTGCCACTTGTTTATCATCATTCATGACAGCCGCTGAGCAATTGCGGACTTAATTATATCTCCACCAACGTTTGTAAGGACAGATGGTGATTATGATGTTGTGGGCTGTAACCGACGGTTGGAGGTCCATACAGGTATGGTAGAATTATAAGACGCCAGTCCTCGGTGACCCAAAACTTAATGGTTTATAGCATAATTAGCTGGCTCTGAATTAATTAGCTTAACGGTTGTAACTCATACCCAGTCTGAGAGTTACTCCCTGTGATGATACCCTCTGTTAGCAATCGCCACAGAGATAGGTCACGTGGAGAGATCAAGGAGATTGCCAATATAGGGCTTGGTAATAATCGTTATTGTTGCGAAAGGAATCCCAAAATACCCATAATGGGTGAATCATGGTAGTGATATCTACATCACTTATTTTTTTTCTAACGAAGCGGCGCCATAATAACCTCCCTCTTGTTAGTCTAATTTCAATAACTGTATAATTCTTGTAGGTTGAAAAAGAATTCCGTGAACCAGCACGAAGCAAAGCGGCGGGAAAACGGCTGTAAGATTGATTAAACAACTTCATGGGGCCATCGCAGACAAGTGTACGCTGCCTCGGTCTGTCACATCGATTAACACATATACTCGAATATTTCCACGAATCCGAGACATTATATGAAGCTCAGTTGTTGCTGATATGGGGTATTATCGGACATGCAAGGACTCGATGGATTAGATGGTCATTTGCCTCACCTCAATGCTAGCAGTTGTGAGCTGCAGTAGCAAAAACCTAATTCTAGTGCTTAAAGGCTATATGACAGCAGATTTTTATCATCAGGTTGACCGAATAGCGCGCCTGCAGATCGTTAGGGGTAAGAGCAGATTCTCGTTAGCTGACAGTAGGCTGAACTGAACCAAGCTACCCTTCAGATCGAACCATAGCTGGCCAGAAGTGGTGGCAGTGACGAAGGTTGAGACGACTTGGTTGGTCCTTGCTAAGTATTGCCATTTGTCTGTCCTGATGTATTCTGATCAAAAGCGCCACGAGGCTAAATAACATGACCGAGGTATATAAACAGACAATGGAGAAGAGTGCGTTGTCTCTATAGTTAATCCTAGCATTTGACACCTTGATGGGATCATGGATTCTCCTTGGATGACGTACCTTAGACGTAGTTATAACATTGTATTGTCGAACGCCGGGGATAGCAGCGAGGCTGAACAAACACAGCCCCGAGAAGATAATAGGATGTGCTAGGCTAGGACTTACAATATAAGCATATCCTCCACAGCATGCTCCTATATGCTCATCTAGCAAATTGTGCCCATGGCTGTTTGGGCTGCGTGTCTTAATGAGCCTGCCTTGCCGTGCTCTCTCCTTTCGTCGAGGGCAGTATATGCACCTGAGCGGCGTCATCCACCTAGGTTATCCCATGTTTTGCTTACTACTTCGGAAGATTGTCTTAATCTGTACGATGTTGTAGTAGTGGTAGATTCGCCGAAACCGCCTAGCTGGCGGTCCTTTATGGGCCGTAGCTCGTGAAGTAAAAAATAGCACCCAACATAGCGAGTAGCCAGTCCTCTAGCCCTTTTAATGCTACTTATCGATCGGCCCTCGCACTATCTCGAATTTGGGTTAGTTTCTGGCCAGTTACTCGACTGTATCCTTTTCCGTGCTTCATAACCAGAGAACAACCTCGTGGTCTCCATGAGAAAGGAACGCGCGCCGAAAGAAAAAATGTTCGCCGTGCCCCTTACCGGGAAGGGAACGAGAACGAGCGAGCAGGTAGTTACACTGGCTTTTTCCCGTTGTTTAGATACCGTAATATGAGTCGTCTTGGCACAACCTTGATTTCCACGCGTGACCATATTATTTTTAGTAGCCAGCTGAAATTGAGCCTATGGCTATGGTAAATTCCGGAACATTGCAGTGTAACCCTTCTTATACCCGGGACAAAACAAGAAAAGAGGAATAAGAAAAAAGAATTAGAAAATATGGTTGCTACTCCCAGTTTACCTGGGAAGCATTAGGATTTGAGCCCAATGCGGGGGTCGAACCTATGAAAGATTAATAATTTTCTCAGAATGAAATTTCTTATAATACAGTTACTCACCCGCAACCTTGAGATTAAGAGTCTCACGCTCTACCGATTGAGCTAACCGGGCGAATTGTGATTTTTTGTTTCGCAATACCCACTATTGCATTCACTCGAGTTAGCATGAATCATGTTTTCCACCGACCTATCAAGTTAAAAATAAAAGAAAAAAATGGTAAAGGAAAAAAAAGGGGTTCTATAGGTAATTGATACACAAAGGTTGCAAACAGCTGCTACGTAGGCAGAAACAACCTGAATGAAACATAAAGTTCCCGAGCGTAACTTGCATAAAGCAAAGGAGCTTAGGGGGTACCTGTGACCCCATCCTAGCTCCGTATCGATAAAGGTTGCTAAACAGGCAGCGGGGTCGATCGAGGGGCATTGAGCAGACACCCCGCTGGAACATGCCAGAATAAGTGACCCTACTACACTACATACAATCTCTTTGTGAAATCTGTTTAGACTTGATGCTTTCCCTGTATTAACTTCTTCATTCGAACTATATCGTATAAGCCAAAATGCCTGTCGACTACAGCAAGTGGGTAAGTATAGATAGCTACAATGCACCTATTCCCGGGGCCGCCGATTCTCAAGTAGCTCTGGCCAAGAGCTAATGGTGCCTTTTTCTTCACAGGACAACCTGGAGCTCAGCGATGATTCTGACATCGAGGTTCATCCAAATGTTGATAAGCGATCCTTCATCCGCGCCAAGCAGAACCAGATTCACGCCGAGCGCCAACAGCGCCGACTACAGATCGAGACCCTCAAGTACGAACGCCAGATCAACGATGGATTGATGAAGCGCATATCCGGCCTTCTGGCTGCTCTCAAAGCCAATAAAGCCGAAGCCGAATCAGATCTCGCCCAGATAGCTTTCCGAGCTGTTATGGAGTCTGCCGGTAATCCCGAGGACGACAAGCCACCTGCGCGACCCGAAGGTGTCCACGCCCAGGTCGAGCAGCCACCTACGTATACCAAGATGATGGCGACATTGCTGGACCAAGTAAACCAGACGCTTAATGAGAAGAAGCCAGAGAATCGCTACACTGCCATGGTAGAGGAGATAGGGGACCATTTGAAGAAGGTGGAAGATCTGCAGAAGCAGCTCTTGGCGAAGCTAGCTGAGCTGGAGAAGGAGGAACGCACTAAGATCACAAGCGAGAGCATCCATACAGGCTTCGATAGCTCCTATGTCGCAAAGTCTACACCCTCCACATCAGGCGAGAAGAAGGACGACAGCAAAGTCGAACTCTTGAACCCGAATTTCTCTGCAGACAAGCCAGAAGAATCAACATCGGGCGCCGATGCCGATGACGACGGTGCCGAGATCGAGGCTTCTGCTGATGGCCGCAAGTTCGCCAATATCAAGGCCGCCGAGTATCGAGAAAGTCATGGCTTCATCACCTCACATCCTAAGATTTTGTCCGAGAAGGAGACGGATGGTATACTCGTCATGGCTTTCGACGCACAACTAGAGAACAAGGATGATCTCGCACGAAACTACATACATCAAGCCCTACTGCTTCAATACTGTCGCTCACTAGGCAAGGATGGCGTTGCGCTTTTCTTCAAGCGCATTACCACGAGAGGTCACCAAGCCCAAGAGGTATTCTACAAAGATGTCCAAGACACGTACTTCCGCATCAAAAACCGGGCAGCGGAGATCAATGCGCAGCGGACTGCGGAAGGCGAGTCCGGCGATGTAGAGCAGATCCAATTACATGCTGTTGAACCAGGCACCGAGATCAAGATTCGCATCCCGCCTGAGGACAGCGAGGAGGCAGATGAGAAGCGGGGACGTGAGATTTTCGAGGGCTTCGCGCCAGATATGCGAAAGGCGCTTGAATCCGGCAGTCTGGACAAGGTTAACGAGGTGCTTGGTAAGATGAAGGTCCCTGAGGCCGAGGAAGTTGTTGGTCTCTTGAGCGAGGTAAGACATAGTTTGAAATCCTCAATCACTATGCATAAGAACTGACCGTCTTGCAGGCTGGTATCCTTAGTTTGGAGGAGCAGATAATAGACGCCACAACGGCCGAAGGCAAACAAAAGATCAAGGAGATGGAAGAGAAGGCCGCGATGGATTCGTATACAGACGACCCGGAGTAGAAAGACACCAGATAAGATACCTATGTTGGGAGGCTTGTCCTTGTAATAGTTACGAAGGTTTATGAGAAAAAGTAGTTAAATACCCCTTAACATGATTTGAACCCATTTTCTCCAGGTGTTACTGGTGTTACGATGGTCTATGCTGAAACACTGTGGTCCCGGCCGCTTAGAACGAGATAAACTACAACTCACTTTGGACAGTGCGTCTCGTTGCACGACTCACAGCGATCTGGTCTTGTCAGGTATCGGTTTAGATGACCGATTGTGCCACGTCTTCTTATATCATAATAAGACCCACTCCATGTTTCCCAAAGACTTGAACTTCAGGTTCAGCTCTAGGTGTTCTAGAGAACGGGCCTCGACAAGATATAAAGGTGGTGGCGTTTGCTCAGTGCCCGTGAACAGTTGGTCCATCAATCGCCAAAAATAGGTATTGCTCACGATGGGCCCGTACTGTAGGTTCTCATTAGCAGACTTATATGAGTCGATCACGGTATCCCTGTTAAGGGGCTGTATAGGGGGGGCGTGTGGCTGCACACTACTTGCAGCTGACCCAGTGGGCCAGTGAAGCAAACGTCAAGCAAACATAGTGGCGCAACTGTTTGTTTCAATGGGACCTCGTATTCAAGTACAGAGCCAAATTGGCGAAAGCGGTTGCCATCTGAAGTTTCTCTTCCTAAACCAAATTACATGTGTTTGTTGTTCAGAGGCCACACAGTGCTCCTCTGAAATCCACGGACTTCTGATCAGGTTTGGACCAGCACCAGCTCGTCCTTTACCCGTTTTAAAAACGTGCGGAAGATTGACTGGAGTGAAACGGAAGGTTACGGTGAATTTTGTCAAGCCCTTTGAACTGTCGACTAACAATTTTTGCCCTATTTGGTAGCGCTTCTATCCGCAATTTATAACACGGGCTGTTCGGATTAGGCTGTGCACGAAGTCTGGGGGAGGGGTTGCTTTCCTAAGATAGGGTAAGGACATTTGGGCTCAATACTGGAAGAACGCTATCTAGGTACCTAGACTAGGTAGTCCCAAAGAGGCTCCTAGTTTTTCCTGTTTTTGAACTAAAAGATCTATGCCAGAACGTTTGAGCATAAGTGCTCCGTAACCTTCCGTTCCATTTCCAGTCATTCTCATCTTACGTTTAAAACGAGGGCACACATCCGCGGGTCCACCAAAGACGGGACGCGCGTTTAGTTTTAGTTTCATCTCTGCCAAGGCCGTGTAAAGAGGCGCAGTCACCAGCTTCAGAGTCCAGACACACTTGACACTGCACAGTGTCGTGTACGCACAGCCAGTGGGCAAGAGTCAAGACCCTGCAGATCACTATTCGTAAGGGGACAACACCACACCACATGCATCGATAGAGGACCTCAGGAGTTTTAGATGTGCCGGCTAATACTATTACATTACGTACGGCCGCAACGCTTCAGCCTCCTTAGAACTATGCTTAAAACTAGTCCAACCCTCTTAGATGGATGGACTCATTGTAGGTTTATACTCTTATTTCTCTCGTTTTGTCTATTTCGTCTCGTCGTTTCCTTTTTTCTGCAATAAGCACGTACAGGAAGTTACAGTAGTCCAGGTCCCTCGCTTGTTTTATATTTCCTCAGTCAAGATGGTTCCGTCATTATGCACATATGTCACATTTATGGCAGCTCTGGTAAGCACGGCCTCTTCAATACCACAAGACAGTAATGTCTTTTCGACGATGACAACGGCAGAAGCCGCACCAAGTTCGACATCGTCAACAACAACAGCCTGCAATAACTCTCCAGACCTTTGCAATCGCTCATACAGCAACATCACACACATGGGTGCCCACGACTCGTCTTTCCTCCGCGACGCTAGCACCGAGAACTCGGTGGCCGGTAATCAGTACTACAACGCGACGGTCGCATTAGACGCTGGCCTACGGCTACTGCAGGTGCAAGTTCATAGTCTTAATGGAATCATCGAGATGTGCCACACCTTATGTGGACTGCTTGATGCTGGTCCACTGCAGGATTGGCTCTCGGACATCAAACTCTGGATGGATAGTAACCCGAATGAAGTGGTGACGCTCTTAATTGTCAACTCGGATGGCCAGGACATTTCCGCATTCGGATCCGCATTTGAGGCGTCAGGGATCGCAGAGTACGGATACACACCGTCAGGAAATGGATGGCCGACCCTACAGTCCATGATCGATGCCAAAACACGCCTTGTGACATTCATCGCGTCCGTCAAAGCTAGCAGCACTTACCCATACCTGCTGACGGAGTTCGACTATGTATTTGAGACTGCGTTTGGGGTCACTTCACCATCAGATTTCAACTGTACCTTGGACCGGCCTTCCTCGCAATCTTCGGCGACTTCCGCACTCTCCGCAGGCCTCCTCCCGCTCATAAACCACTTTGCAGACACAGATCTGGGCTCCTCCATCACGGTCCCGGACGTTGACAACATCACAACGACGAATAGCCCGTCGACGACGACTATCGGAGCCCTCGGTCTACATGCTCAAACCTGCCAGTCTGAGTGGGGTTTCAAACCGACCTTCGTGCTGGTGGATTTCTGGAACGAGGGCCCTTCTATCGATACTGCAGATGCGATGAACGGCATTAGCGACCCTGTGGGACGCAAGAACACTACCGCGGTTGCTGATTCGGTGAAAGATTCCAACGACGCGAAACGCGGGCGTGGTGCCGCTGGTATGGGTACCGGAGCACTTGTTGCGTTTATCGCGGCGGTATTACTGCTTGCGTAGACTGGTTACTGGTTTCCTTCATGGCTATTTTGGGCGTAATATACCCTCTTTCATTCTGGTATTTCTTGGTTATTGGGCATAGCGATGGCGTTCATTTAAACCCATTTTTGGAGGGTGCAGGTTTATCACACTAGTCGAGACAGGATATATTTCGATATCAGCCTCAGGGAACTCGACAGTTACGAGTAGCACCCTTTGAGCTAGATTTGTGGGTA